CCATAAATCCAGGAGTTTGCAGCAATAATTACCTCTTAACTTCAATCAAAGCTACCATAAATCCAGGAGTTTGCAGCAATAATTACCTCTTAACTTCAATCAAAGCTACCATAAATCCAGGAGTTTGCAGCAGTAATTACCTCTTAACTTCAATCAAAGCCACCATAAATCCAGGAGTTTGCAGCACTAATTACCTCTTAACTTCAATCAAAGCTACCATAAATCCAGGAACTCAAGCCGCCGTCATGCACGAGCTCCGCGTCTCCATCGGTATCATGGCTACGGTGAGTGTCGCGTGCAGTAACAGGGGCGCTTTAAATGATATAAATAATAAACTAATATTTATAATAATTTATATAATAAATAATTAATTTATAATAAATGTGTAAATACACATTTATTATGTGTAAATGTGTTAATTTATATAATAAATGTGTAAATACAACACTTCTCTTTAACTTCACTTCTTGTTGTTTGTTTGTTTGTCTTCTGCAAATCTTATAATCGATATTTAACACTCTTCTACATATACAAGTGATCTGAGATTTTGTACACTGAAATAAAGTTGGAGACAATGCATGAATCATTATTGACTGAATAAATTTAAAAAAAAAATTTAATTCATTTATTTATGGAAAAAATGAAAAATTAATTTTTAATTATTTCAAAATAAAATTAGAAATTCATTGTACATGAGTAAAATCGGAGATACTTTAGAAAGTAATCTTTAGAAATCTTTAGAAAGTAATTTTTAAACTCATATCAATTTTTTAAATATATGTATAATTTTTAAAATAAGGTTTCATTGAAGACCAGAGAATTAGTTTTATTGACAATTTTCTTATTATTTTTTCAATAGATCGAACAATATTTTTCGTTTGCACTGGTAAATCAAAAATCAGCGTACCGATGGACATTTTTATTTCTCTAAAACATTTCGAATGTATCAATCATTCATTATCAAATTACAAGATGCATTGCGTAATGAAATTTGGATCAACATGAGTATAAAATCATGTAAATAGGATACTCCTCAAATATCAAATTGTTGCAAATAATAATAAAATCACATAAATATGAAAATAATCAAGAATTAAAACACTAAAAATTAGTCCGAAAACAGTCTCAAGGTTTTGACAACTCAAGTGCATGTAACTACAGCAACGGAGGCAAAAGACGTTACAAGGAAAACATTGGATAAATTGCTGCACTTGCATGAACTGCATTAAAAGATGGCATAAAAACCGTCTGCATGAGAGCCTATCGAATTGGTCAACAGATTCCTAATTTTTTCATATGTATCGAGCGGTATCCTGGCTACCGTGCTTCTGGAGCGGGGGTGATGATAATGAGCGGTATCCTGGCTACCGTGCATTTGAGGCGGGGGTGATAATTACGAGCGGTATCCTGGCTACCGTGCGTCTGGAGCGGGGGTGATGATAGCGAGCGGTATCCTGGCTACCGTGCATCTGAAGCGGGGGTGATGATAGCGAGCGGTATCCTGGCTACCGTGCGTCTGGAGCGGGGGTGATGATAGCGAGCGGTATCCTGGCTACCGTGCGTCTGGAGCGGGGGTGATGATAGCGAGCGGTATCCTGGCTACCGTGCGTCTGGAGCGGGGGTGATGATAGCGAGCGGTATCCTGGCTACCGTGCGTCTGGAGCGGGGGTGATGATAGCGAGCGGTATCCTGGCTACCGTGCGTCTGGAGCGGGGGTGATGATAGCGAGCGGTATCCTGGCTACCGTGCGTCTGGAGCGGGGGTGATGATAGCGAGCGGTATCCTGGCTACCGTGCGTCTGGAGCGGGGGTGATGATAGCGAGCGGTATCCTGGCTACCGTGCGTCTGGAGCGGGGGTGATGATAGCGAGCGGTATCCTGGCTACCGTGCGTCTGGAGCGGGGGTGATGATAGCGAGCGGTATCCTGGCNCTCACGTGATCAATACTCACATGGTCATTACTCACTTGATTATTACTCGCGTGATCATTACTCACGTGATCATTACTCACGTGATCATTACTCACATGATCATTACTCACGTGATCATTACTCGCGTGATCAATACCCACAAAAGTCTGTGTAGCAACAGCGAAAAATCTGTGTTGCCACAGCGACGCAGCACCTGCCAACAACAAGGTCACAGCTGCCGGGATGTTCATATACATTGTATTAATCACTATGTGGAGTGGTGGGAAACTCTTCTAACTCTGAATAGAATAGATAAAATATATAGAAGCTGCAGCTGAATGAATAGATATTAGCTGTAGTTTACGCTGCACTTTCCGCCCTGAAGCCAACAACCCGCAAGTGTTCAGGCTTTGATGGATGTACTCGTATGGTTAAACTTACTTATATGTGTATGAACAATTCGATGAGGTGAACTAAATCGTGAACTTTCAGTTCATTTATTGTCGGATATTTCTCTTTGTTTTAAGATTCGGTGAATATTTCAACTTGAACTGTGGTGTTCTTACGAGTAAGGAGTAACCTTCAACTAATATTCATGATTTGCTACGACTCATAAAGGTGTTGCTGGCAGCGGAATGAAGAATGTGAATGGTTTACAGAATCTGAATGTTGAAATTACTCTGATTATTTTAAATAATCTGAATCATTCCTCATCACAACGCAGCGGCCGCTCTGTGATGGCCTGGCTGCTATGAAAATTCTGTTGTAGTGTACAGTTTATGCCAGTACGTGTCACAAAATAATGTAGGGCAACGTACAGGCAAAAGCTGTGGTACGGAATACTATGTACACGGCAACAGGATGGCAGGTCACCAGAGAGCGGCCGCTGCATTGAGGAGAACTTCAGATTTTTTAAACTATTCAGATTGTATGAAATATTCAGATTTTTAAAAGTATTTAGATTGTTTGATATACTCATATTCTTCACCCTATTCGGACTCTTTGAAATATCCAGACTTTAAAACTTTAGATTATTCAAGTAAATTTTATCTTTTGCATTTTATATCTTACATTTTACATTTTACTGTATATATTGTATTTTTTATTTCTAATTTTACATTGTTCATTTTTCATTTATCGTTGTTTTTTTTACATTTTATATAATGCATTTTTATTTTAATTTAAATTTTAAATTTTAAATTTTAAATGTTAAATTTTAAATTTTAAATTTTAAATGTTAAATTTTAAATTTTAAATTTTAAATTTTAAATTTTAAATTTTAAATTTTAAATTTTAAATTTTAAATTTTAAATTTTAAATTTTAAATTTTAAATTTTAAATTNTCATTTTCATTTTCATTTTCATTTTCATTTTCATTTTCATTTTCATTTTCATTTTCATTTTCATTTTCATTTTCATTTTCATTTTCATTTTCATTTTCATTTTCATTTTCATTTTCATTTTCATTTTCATTTTCATTTTCATTTTCATTTTCATTTTCATTTTCATTTTCATTTTCATTTTCATTTTCATTTTCATTTTCATTTTCATTTTCATTTTCATTTTCATTTTCATTTTCATTTTCATTTTCATTTTCATTTTCATTTTCATTTTCATTTTCATTTTCATTTTCATTTTCATTTTCATTTTCATTTTCATTTTCATTTTCATTTTCATTTTCATTTTCATTTTCATTTTCATTTTCATTTTCATTTTCATTTTCATTTTCATTTTCATTTTCATTTTCATTTTCATTTTCATTTTCATTTTCATTTTCATTTTCATTTTCATTTTCATTTTCATTTTCATTTTCATTTTCATTTTCATTTTCATTTTCATTTTCATTTTCATTTTCATTTTCATTTTCATTTTCATTTTCATTTTCATTTTCATTTTCATTTTCATTTTCATTTTCATTTTCATTTTCATTTTCATTTTCATTTTCATTTTCATTTTCATTTTCATTTTCATTTTCATTTTCATTTTCATTTTCATTTTCATTTTCATTTTCATTTTCATTTTCATTTTCATTTTCATTTTCATTTTCATTTTTCGTTTACACTATGTTATATTCCTGAACAATGTTAGCAATGGATATTTTATATTCCACTTAACATGGATTTCACGTGTGTTCTATTGAGTGAACTCGAATATCGTGAGTTATATTCATTCAGCTGCAGCTTTTATCTATTTAATCATTTCTATTTAGAATCAGAAGAGCTCCCAACAACCCCACACAGCAATTATTACAATGGAAATGAACATCCAGACATGTGTGACCTTGTTTTTGGCAAGTGCTGCGTCGCTGTTGCTACACAGACTTTTGTGGGTAATGATCACGTGAGTAATGATCACGTGAGTAGTGATCACGTGAGTAATGATCACGTGAGTAATGATCACGTGAGTAATGATCACGTGAGTAGTGATCACGTGAGTAATGATCACGGGAGTAGTGATCACGTGAGTAGTGATCACGTGAGTAATGATCACGTGAGTAGTGATCACTACAGTATATTAACATTAACATTCACATTAACATGTACATCTACATTAGCCTTTACATATACACATATATGCTTCAATACCTCTATCAACTTGAAAATGAATGTTGATACATTCGAAACGTCGTTAAATATATCATAAGTACTTGCTGAGACCTGCCTCTGATCTACTAGCGTCTCCTGGAGAAGTTTTGGCTCCCTGAAAATTGCAATATAATCCATTCTCTGGTCAATAATAGTACGTGTATCAACAAGAAAATTCTACAATCTGTTCAATAGTGTTCAATAGTGACACGCAAAAGTTTTTGATACATTACAGTTTTCTTTATATTTTAAGTTAAAGTGCAATATTTTACTCAATATTTGGTCAGTATATTGCTAATGGTACTAGAAACATTATGTAGAAAGGAGATGGAAAAGTAAGCATTGTTTAAATTTTATTCAACAAATAGAAAAATTAAACCACGCAAAAGTATTGGGTACATGTTCAAATATAACTTTTTAAGGTACTCAAAATTCGCTTTTTCCAGACGTTCCACTAATCTCATATCGTTATCTAATTGGCCACTCAGAATAGTTTACTATTGTTTACAAGATTTTGTGTTCCGGTGAAGAAATTATTTAGCTTCATCTGCAAAATTGAATTTAAAATGCTAAAACTCGAGAGATGGTGATAGATTTGCGTCAAAAGATCATAGATTGTCACTAGAAACGGAAAGAGTATCGAATAATATCCAAGGAGCTTGATCTTTCATTAGGTAGAGTTGGAAATATCTTCAGGAAGTTATAATCCTGATAATATCATCCGAGCGTGCTGTTACTAACCTTCCTAGACCTGGTTGTCCAAGGAAACTAACAGACGGTATTGCAAGGTGGATTAGCAGAAAGGTACAGAAGGACCCGCTTGTTGCTCGTGGTGAAATTAAAAGCGACCTTGAGGAAGCTGTGGTTGATGTAGAAAAGGACACAATCAGCAGAGCTCTAAATCGTACAGTTCTTATGTAAAGTTCCTCACGAAAGACTCCTCTGCTGATGTACCGACACGTAAAAACCACAAGAATTGGGAAATCGGGCAAAATCCTGGCTGGATGAAATAAGAATCAAACTTTTCAAAATGAATTCGATTGAATCTTGACATAAGACCAGTAAGATTTGGAGCTCTGCTGATTGTGTCCTTTTTTACATCAATCACAGCTTCCTCAAGTTCGCTTTTAACTTCACTATGAATAACAAACAGGTTCTTATTTACCTTTCTGCTAATCCACCTAGCATTACCGTCTGTTTGTTTCCTTGGACAACCAGGTCATGGAAGGTTAGCAACAGCATGCTCGGATGAAATCATCAAGATGATAAAATTTATGATTTAAAATTTATAATATAAAATTTAAAATTTAAAAATTAAATTTAAAATTTAAACTTAAAATGTATAACTTATAAAATAAAATTTAAAATTTAACATTAAAAATTTATAACTGATAATTTATAATTTTTAATTAATTATTTTTAATTTATAATTAATTATTTATAATTTATTATTTTTAATTGAGGCTTCTCGTGCACATCTGATTTCATCCCTTAATGCTGTAATAGGAGGTGTCGTCAGGAGCCAATATCATTCAGTAGATAGAACGTTTATAGACCTACAACACTACGCAACCTTCGAATTCGCTTAGGTTTTGTTAAGTATTTACTCGTACCTTCTTGAAATTTAGCCCAGTTCCTCCGATGATTCGGAGAGCTAATTTAGTTAGATGTATTTATTTTGTATGTTATACTCTTGAACCATATTGTTGTATACGTTAACCTGTTTATCTCGTATTACAAAATTGTCGTGTTTTTATGTGCAGAAACTCACCATCAATAAACCTGATAGAAGTGTCGAATCATCATATTACTTTCATGAAACTTTGGGGAAACATTTATATATAGTTTATAATTTATGATACAGAATTTGTAATTTCTAATTTGTATTTATAATTTATAACGTTTAATTCATAATTTTTAATTTATAATTTATAAATTAGTTGAAAGCATTTAAAATTTAGAAGTTAAAAGTCAAAAGTTAAAAGCATTTAAAATTTAAAAGTTAAAAGTCAAAAGTTGAAAGCATTTAAAATTCAAAAGTTAAAAGTCAAATGTTAAAAGTTTTTATAATTCAAATGTTAAAAGTCAAAAATTAAAAGCATTTAAAATTTAAAAGTTAAAAGTCAAGAGTTAAAAGCATCTAAAATTTAAAAGTTAAAAGTCAAAAGTTAAAAGTCAAAAGTTAAAAGCATTTAAAATTTAAAAGTTTAATGTTAGAAGCATTCAAAATTCAAAAGTTAAAAGTCATATGTTAAAAGCATTTATAATTCAAAAGTTAAAAGTCAAAAGTTAAAAGCATTTAAAATTCAAAAGTTAAAAGTCAAAAGTTAAAAGTTAAAAGTATTCAAAATTCAAAAGATAAAAGGTGAAAGATAAAACATTTAAAATTCAAAAGGTAAAAGTATTTAAAATTTGCAATTTGCATTTTATGTAAAGAATTTTTTACTGAACATACTTCTCCCGTGTACATAAGGTTGAGACCTTTTAGTTAGGACCAGAGTTGATGAGCTCAGGCAAAATTCAGTTTCAAACAAACTTGCCCATGATTGTTCAGCAATTTGGGATGTTATCATTTACTTATGCTATGATTATTTGAAATTTTGAATTTGAAATTTTAAACTTTAAAGTTCAAAAATTAAAGTTAAAATTTTGTTAATTAATTAAAGTCAAAATTTTTAATTTACAATTTAAAATTTAAAAATTAGTTAAAATGTAAATTAACTTATCAGGTATTTTTCTGCTCTTGCACCCCTTAATTTCCATACCTTCAAGCATCCTGTGGTTTTCAAAGATAGCCAAATAAATCCGATATTTTTGTCTTATAATTAATGATATTATTATATAACAGTACGTAAGCTTAACAAATTTGTTCATACATCGACGCCATACCATGAGTGGTAGATGGTCATGATTCGCTATAATAACAGCGTCTGACCACAAAAGCCTGGCCAGCTGCTTTTTAAGGTCTGATTACGATATTCGGGCTATCGGGCAATCGACTCCTCCAATCGGCTCCTATATAGCCGCTGATTGCAGTTAGGTGGCCTGAGTCACCTCTAAGCTGACTATCTGTCCTTTGGGGCGGCCCCTAACGGAACAAGAAACTCGACTCGTTAGAGACGGAACTATTTCGTACAGCCTATGAATCTAGTGCCTAATCATTTTATCCGTTCTTATCCTTTCTTGTTTATTTTTCTTTCGCTTGCTATTAATCTTATGTGTGACGTGCTCTCGAAGTTCGCTTGAACCAAACGCCAAGATAAATGCCTCGTAGAATAATAATAATAATTACAACGCGTTGAGTGTTGCAGGAGCTGTGCCGTAGCATTTGTCCTTATTTTATATCACTGTGCGTTGTGTGTGTTGCAGGAGCTGTGCCGTATCATTTATCCTTATTTGATATCACATCACGTTGTGTGTTGCAGGTGCTGGGCCTCGGGCTCGCCGCGGCATCCTATCCAGACAGCGTGAGTACCGACCTTATGCTGTACGTAGATGGTCGCAGAATTTCTTTATGCACAACAAAGATTGTTATCAAGAATTATCGTAATATAGAGGTAATTATGTTGACAAACCTCAAGGCTAGACTGCCAACGAGCAGCCGAGAAAAAATTTTGTGTTTCATGTGGCTCATCATTTTTTCTTGGTTTACGAAAATTTTTCTCTACTCAAATGTAAATAGGCTACAGGCAGTGGCATCATATTCTAATATTACTGTATGAAATGTTGATGTTCTATTCCTTCAGATCATTGGATAGAGCAAAATTTTAATTATCGTGCATATAGTAAAGCAAATTTTTTGATGTAATTAATGATAGTTGCAGTTGATGCCGGAATTCAATGGATTGTTTCCTGGCGAAGAATGAGGCAAAAAAATTTCATCTTATTTTCTAATCAAATCGCTGCTCTTGTTATGCAGCGATCTTTCCGAACGAAAAAGAATCAATACAGAACACAAAACTACGTGTGTTTGTTATTACAAAAATAGTGCCCAGCTACAGCTAATGAACAGTGCCTGCAAACCTAATCAAAACAGTTGTCATAGCTCCAGGGTCAATTCAGCAACCCTGAACAAGAACTGCCCAAACCCAAGCTTCTAGCAGCTGGCAGGGACGAACATAATGTTATTGTGAATTATTAACAGTGATGAGTAACTCGCTCACGTTCCCTCGCACATAATAGTGACGAGCATAATCAGTAATTGAGAATCATTAACTGTGATGAGTAACTCTTTCACGTTCCCCGTAGGCCAACGTCTTTTTAACCTCCTCTGCTCCGCTGAGCTGTGGGACGCGAACTTCGACTTCCGTGAGATTCAGGACCTTGGTGGTGCCGGGACCCTCCTCAGTAGTGGTGAGCTGAGTGATGTATATAGAGCGAGACTTGCAGCATTAGGTGTACATATAGTTAGGCTTGCAGCATTGGGTGTACATATAGTGAGACTTGCAGCATTGGGTGTACATATAGTGAGACTTGCAGCATTGGGTGTACATATAGTGAGACTTGCAGCATTGAGTGTACATATAGTGAGACTTGCAGCATTAGGTGTACATATAGGGAGACTTGCAGTATTAGGTGTACATTTAGGAAGATTTATATGGATACAATTGATGACTGGAGAATGCATTACAATTACAAGGAGTCGAATATTCTTTAGATGACGTTGGTAGATCATGAGGCAGGTTTAGTGAGTAATAATAATAATACTCGTATATTAGCGGCGTTTCGCATGTAACAACATACGTTGTCAAGTTAAGAGAAGCATACAATAATTAAAATTTGTTGGGCATAAGTTCAAAATACACGTAAATCGGATAAAACACAAAAATTTTGAGATAGAAAATTTTTCTGCAAACAATGTCAAAGGTTAGACAAATTCGGTAGTGGAAATAGAGAACTGGGGCCCAACCCTAAAAATAACGAAGGTTCCAGCAAAAGTTGGTTGGATAATGTTGTGCACCTCCGCATGATGACGCTGGTGGGTTTCTCCAGCACGGTGCGCGCAATGGTCTTGTGAGTTTGTCACAAGGGGTTCCTCTGCCCTCCAGATTGAAGATGGCGGGTGAGACGGTCTTGATGTCATGGTTGTTAGTCCAATTACTCCAATGTAGTCCAAATGATGAAAAAGTCTATAACCTTCTTTGAAGTTTGAAAAAAATTCTCCAAGAGGCCGGTGTAGTCTATAGATTTGGCTTCAAAGAAGGTTATAGACTTCTTCATCATTTGGACTACATTTGAGTAATTGGACTAACAACCACGACATCAAGACCGTCTCACCCGCCATCTTCAATCTGTAGGGCAGAGGAACCCCTTGTGACAAACTCACAAGACCATTGCGCGCACCGTGCTGGAGAAACCCACCAGCGTCATCATGCAGAGGTTGAGGTGCACAACATTATCCGACAAACTATTGCTGGAACCTTCGTTATTTTTTTGGGTTGGACCTTAGCTCTCTATTTCCACTACCGGATTTGTGTAACTTTTAACACTGTCTGCGGAAAGATTTTCTATCTCGAAATTTTTGTGTTCTATTCTATTTGCGTATATTATGTAATTATGTCCAGTAAATTTTAATTATTAAACGCTTCTCTTAACTTGAAAACGAATGTTGTTACATTCGAAACGTCGTTAATAATTTATTATTACTAGCTAAACATGCCCTTCGATCATCCAACGTCATCTAGAGAATTGTTCGATTTCTTGAAAATCGTAATGCATTCTCTGGTCATAAATTGTACTCATATAAAAAAGGAAATTCAGCCATCTAATACTAATGTAGTGAGATGCGTACTGTACAGACTCGCATTATTAGGTGTACATTTAGTGTGATGCGCATTGTACAGAGAATTGCATTATCTGCGCACGTATTTCGCAAGCATTTTATCTCCATTGAGGGCCTTAGCACTGAGGCATCTGCAACACAGTCGTCAACTGCCGTGTCGTCTCGCGAGCATTCAAAGCTGCATATTGTATAACCAACACTTGCATCTTCACATTCCACGAAGACTTTAATGCTATACGTAAGATAATAGATAATAAGACGGTGATGTTAACGTGCCTCCTTCTTGCAGACGTACCGACGCTTGGGGGTGAAGGCTAGCGATTTGGCCGCTGCCGTCAATGAGACCAAAGCGATAACAGCAACGGACGTGGTGCAGTGTGCGAAGAAGGCCGCCTTGGCAGGTGAGCGTCTATGCCCGATGTGGGCTTGGCAGCTGAGCATCCTGCGCCTGATGTGGGCTTGGCAGGTGAGCGTCCTGCGCCCGATGTGGGCTTGGCAGGTGAGCGTCCTGCGCCCGATGTGGGCTTGGCAGGTGAGCGTCCTGCGCCCGATGTGGACTTGGCAGGTGATAGTCCTATGCCCGATGTGGGCTTGGCAGCTGAGCATCCTGCGCCCGATGTGGGCTTGGCAGGTGAGCATCCTGCGCCCGATGTGGGCTTGGCAGGTGAGCGTCCTGCGCCCGATGTGGGCTTAGCAGGTGAGCGTCCTGCGCCCGATGTGGGCTTGGCAGGTGAGCGTCCTTCGCCCGATGTGGGCTTAGCAGGTGAGCGTCCTTCGCCCGATGTGGGCTTAGCAGGTAGTAGTAGTTAGTAACCGGCAGATTTCCTGAAAATTTGTGACCGCGCATTGGCTGAAAACATATGGTCTGTGAGATTATACTAAGAGTTAATTAAATTTTTCTGCAGGCATGGCTGGGTTTTCTTTCAATGGAACCTGCACCGCTTACAAGTTTGGCTCAAAACTCTGCTCATGTTCGCCGGGCGAGGAAGTCGTTTACGTGACCAACGCCAGTGCATTCTTCGGACCTCCATCAGCCGTGCCACTCAGTGAGTCCAAACTTGTTCAATGGAAGATCTGTGAAAATACAAGACGACAAACATGTTTCGATATGCGATTTGGCGCGTCCAGTCTTGCATGTTTACATTTCTTCCAGATTTTAATAATTTATCAGAGGTAAAAATTATGAGCGATTCATGAGTGGTGTTTCGATATGCGATTTGGCGCGTACGTCCAGTCCTGTATGTTTACATTTCTTCCAGATTTTAAAAATTTATCAGAGGTAAAAATTATGAGAGTTTCATGAGAGGGCATCGAAAGAAAATTCATTCATGACGAGTAAAGTGGCAGCTTCTATGGTTTTTGAGCTTCATATGCATCGTAAAATGCGTGCCGTTGCTAATTTCTTGATCTGATATTGACTCGTTTTAAAAACCTACACTGAAGTCTGGGAGGTTAAAAGATTTTCTTGCATAAATATTCCCTCACATAGTTAATAACTTATTCAGACTTGTGTTCAGAAGACCAGCTCTCCGTGCAACCTGAATTGCTATTCGTATTGAATAAAAGTTTAGGAAAATAATGATAAAATGTTAAACTGACTCGGGCCTTGCGTTAGGAATTTCACTGGAAACGTGATGGAACTCAGCAAGTATGCATCTTCCAAACTCCAATTTACAACCCTTGTCAGACAGTATAATTTTACAATGTTGTAATCGTACCAAGTTTAGAAATTTGTACCTATGCAGAACCTAATATAATTTGATAATTTTACATCATTATAATCGTGCCAAAATTAGAAACATTTGTACCTATGCAGAGTTAAGTTTTCATGTATGCCAGTCGGCAGTGCACATGTTACTCCAGCGAACAGGCAAATTAGTAGCAAGGCTTGTGTCTGTACGCATAACTTGCACGGCTGGAGGGTCAGCACACCATTTATTTATTTATTTTATTTATTGACATGCATTAGACATCTAGGATATTCCTTACCATTCATTAATTGTTGAATGTTCACGAATACATTTCTCAACAGGCGCAGCGCCCTACATCAACACCACTGTCGAAAACATCCCATTTAAGCAGTACCGCATCTTGAAGTTCGTCGCTGATGATGCTGAGGTGGAGGTCTTTTCGTCAGCTGGAGGCAAGTTGTCGCGTATAATTTTCCAAATCCATATTCGTGAAATGGAATAATCCATCTAGCCTTTTCCCACAGCGTTTCACCTCGTGGCTGGCCTGACCTGCACAATTCACTAACTACTAATAACTAATTACTAAATAATCAATAATTACTAATCTGTTATAAAAAGTTATGAAGTATTATTTTAATTCTTCGATGTTCATGGATGGATATAACGCTCGAAATGCTGCTGGCAACATCGTCAGACCTCTGCTGGTGACTGTAAAGGATTCTGCTCAGGTCTGGAGCGTGCTGAAAACAGCGAGAGAGCTCGGAGAACCCGCTGATTACAAGTCAGTTTTTGTAAAGAAAGATTCCACCCCCTTGGAAAGGGCGGTTTTTCGCAAGAAGTGGCAGGAGAGAATCAGGCGGTAAGGCACGGGAAATCAGGTCAATCACTTCCAAGCTGCCAAGACAACACCGGCTGCTCACGGACAATCAGAGGAGATGGCGGGCAAGTAATTAGTAGGAAGCATGTCCGTAGATCGAGGCCTGTAAATAATGTAGGAAGTAACCGCATACATCAAAGTGAAAGTGCACAAAAAGTGGTAAAATGTTTTTACACGAACTCGAATTCCGTTTTGAACAAAAAAAGTGAACTGTTAACTGTGATCGCAAACGAGTGTATAGACATTATTTGTATTACAGAAACACTCCCTAAAAATCACGGGGGAAAAATTGTACCTGTTGAATTTCAGCTGACAGATTTTGATTGTTTTCATAAATTAAATGAAGAGCAGTGCAGTAGAGGTGTATTGGGTTAGAACCTCTTATGGGGCCCTGCAAGTTAAGTTATCTGCAGAGCATCAATCAGCTAGAGAATCAGTGTGGTGTGAACTTACTCTAAAAGGCAAAGATGGCCTCCTCATAGGGGTCATTTACAGATCACCTAATAGCTCCTCTGATAACAATAAAGTACTAAACAGCCTTTTACCGAGCATGTCATTCAGCAGGTCGTATACGTTGATCGTTGTTGACTTTAACCATCCAGAAATAGACTGGGCAGATGAATCTTCTCCAAGAGATGGGAATCACCCAGCATCCTTGTTCTTGGAGTCTATGCGAGACTCATTTTTTAATCAAGAACACCACCAAGCCAACCTCTTTTAGGGAAAAACAGACCTCAAATATTCTAGATCTTGTGTTTACTAGTGAAGAATCAATGATAGATGAGCTTCGCCACGAGGCTCCGTTGGGCAAAAGCCACCACCAATCACTGTTTTTCAATATTAAGTGTTGTGCAGAAAAGACGCTTCGGAAGCGTGAACGTTTGAACTTTGCGAAGGGCGACTTGATAAACTCCGTGAAACGGTGAATGCGGCGAATATTTCGGACTATATTAAGGACACGAGAGTGGCTGATTCATGGTCGTTTCTCAAAGACACGGTTATGTCTGCAGTTGATGCCTGTGTACCCAAGATTACGCTTGGAAGAGTCAAAAAGTCCCAGTTGATGAACAGTGCAGTTAAGACTCAGCTAAAGACCAAGAAAGAAGCCTACAAGCGTTATTTACGAACTCGCAGCGAGTCTGATTATAACCTGTATGCCAGAGCTCGAAATCAAGCTAAAAACTAACGTTCTTAATCAGTTCTTCAGCAGTGTGTTCACAGATGAGGACTTGAACAGTATTCCAGATATTGAAGAGCGCCCAGTCGGCTCGAAGTTAACACGTTTTGAAATACACGAAGAAGAGGTTCTCAAGCGCATGGTAGCTCTAAATCCCAACAAGTCAAGTGGACCAGACGGCTTCCATCCCAGATTGCTCAAAGAATTAGCAACCGTTCTGGCCGGCCCATTGACAGTATACTTTCAAAAAATCTTGAAAGAAGGAACTTTGCCGTCCGACTGGAAAGAAGCTCAAGTAACACCATTGTTCAAAAAAGGTGACAAAAGCAGCCCCGGCAACTATCGCCCTGTCAGTCTGACAAGTGTCGTTTGTAAGCTAATGGAATCTGTTGTGAGGGATAGGATTATCGATCACTTGACTGCTCACCATCTCATATCAGATGGTCAACATGGCTTTATCGCCGGTAGATCCTGCACCACTAACTCATTATCTACGTTGAACGATTGGACTCGCCTGCTGGACGAAAGGGAGCCAGTGGATACATTGTACCTCGATTTTGCCAAAGCATTTGACAGTGTTCCGTATGAGCAGCTGTTGCGTAAAGTGAAGTCTTTGGGAATTGAGGGAAACGTACTCCAATGGATCAGAGATTTTCTAGTAGGTAGACGACAATTAGTCAGTATTAGCGGAACCGTGTCAGACTGGGCATCAGTGCGCATTGGCGTGCCACAAGGAAGCATTATTGGGCCTATTTTGTTCGTTGCTTTTATAAACGATTTGCCAGAAGCAGTCTCCAGCGTGTGCTCCATGTATTCCGACGACGCAAAAATTTATAATACAGTGAAGGATGAATCAAATAAAGCGCAATTACAAGATGATCTTGACAGTTTGGTTAACTGGGCTGATACGTGGCAGCTGTGGTTTAATGCTGACAAGTGTAAAGTACTTCAACTCGGGAAGAACAATAAACTGCAAGATTACAGTATGAGAAGACATGGTTGCAACGAGAGAGTAATGATTGAAAAATCTAGTGTGGAAAAGATCTCGGAGTTTATGTCGACAAGGAGCTGAAATTTTCTAAGCATGTTGAAACGCAAGCAAACACATCCAGCAAACTTCTTGGACTAATCAGACGCTCATACGAGTTCCTAGATGCAGAAGTGATAAAGCAGTTGTTTGTTGCTGTCGTGCGCCGGAATCTATAGTTTGGAAACGTTGTGTGGTCACCGAGATTTGAAAAGGACAGAAATTTAATAGAGAATATTCAAAGACGTACAACAAGGATAATTCCAGGCTTGAAGGGCAAGTTCTATGAAGAAAGATTGAAGTCTATGAAGCTTCCAAGCCTCAGTTATCGACGTCTGCGTGGGGACCTCATTGAAGTATACAAGTATACTAATGGTTTAAACAAGGTCCCCGAAGGATTACTAGAATTTGAAACAAGAACCAACACCAGGGGCCACGGCTATAAACTAAAAAAGTTGCGCTGCAACTTCTCCACGCGACAAAATTTCTTCTCGCTTCGAATCACCGACATGTGGAACAGCCTCCCCAATGACATCGTTGGCGCTCCAAGTATGAACGCGTTCAAGAACAGACTAGATAAAGCTATGGAAAAATATATGTTCAGATTTGAAATGCCTAGTACCATATTAAACACGGAAGAAGTCAAGTAGCTACTTGAAACTAACGTCAGTCATGAAAAGATACGGTCAAATGAAACGATATTAGATCTTCTGTGAACAAGGCACGAAAAGGAAAAGAATCGGCGACAGGCGATATCAGGCCCACACTTCAGCGCCGAGATCAATATGTTATGTTAAGACTTTCAGTGACATCTCTGCTCCAGTCTCCGTTGTTCGACATGGTCAGTAAGGCAAAGAGGCAGGCAATGGTGCGTATATTGGAGAGTCAGCCCAACACACAACCGGCTTGAACTGATTTCACAGCGACACTGCCCGCGCAAAATCTTTGGCAAGAATTGCGCGGGCAGCAAGCAGCGCAAATCTTGCCAAAGATTGAACACCGCTTTGAAGAGCGTCGCGCCAGTCTTGATGGTCCGGACTGCCTCAGTCTGGACTGAAAAAGCCAGTTTTTCAGTCGAGCAGAGTCTCATAGTGGAAAAGGGCCTTTATTCTTTGCTTTGAGCTGTCAGTCTCGGGCACAAGTGTGGAGCCGACGCAAAATAATGTTGCTTAATTTCTTCCATCCTCATGCGAGATATTTCTTGCTTGTTAATTAAATCTAAATTGTTTCAGTTAACGACTCTACATTTATAACGAATTATTCTACAGTGATACTCACCGTGAACGACTCTAATTATAATGCTTGTCAGATTTTAGTTTTCATTACTCATTCGCCAAGAAAAGAATATAAGGCACCATATTTTCATTTTCAACTGCAGTGCTCACTTCTAGCATTGGCATTATGATCGATATTGTTGATGCTCAGAGTATGAACGCGTTCAAGAATACACTGGGCAATGCTAGGCAAAAGCATACCATATCATATCATACCATATCATATCATATTAATATTATATCATATCATATATCATAGTGATGTCGGTGCTGAAGAATAGGCCTGATGTGGCCTGTCGCCGAATCTTGTATTTTTCGAGACTTGTCCCCAGGAGATCTAAACACAGGTCCTTTGACAGGATCTTATCTCAACTGACGATAGTTTGAAATAGCCACTAGACATCCACCGGGCTCGATATGGTGCTGGGAAATCAAGTCTGAACATATATTTTTCATGGCATTATCAAGTCTGTTCTTGAACGCGTTCATACTCGGAGCGTCAACGATGTAATCGGGAAGGCTGGTCTAGACGTCGGTGACTTGAAGCGAGAAATGTTGTAGTGTCGATGTATATATGTTCAACCTTGAAATGCTTAGCACCCTACGGAACTAGTAAAAGTCCGGTGATGATGTAAACCAACGTCAGTTGAAAATATCATGTCAAAACGCCAGTTTTTTGATCAATGTACGAGTCGCGAAAAGTACAAGAATCGGCGAATGGCCAAAATAGGCCTTATTCTTCAGCGCCGAAGCTGCTATGCTCTAGCTTGTAGTATCATCTCTGTTTCTGCTTAGGAATGTGCAGCTAAGGATATTTTCTACTATTACAATGCTCCATGGGAGCGCAGCCGTGCATTACCAATTTTGTGGACCAAAAAGCCCTGAATCGAACGTCTTAGATCTATCCGGACATCCACCAATCAGCCGTGAACCACTCGGCTTTGTCCTCCTCCGGCCTTGACCACTACCTGCCGTGCACCACCAAGCCGCGGATCGAATATGACTTCCGGGCATCGTTAAATTACATAATTTTACGTTCACCGCATCTGAAGTTAGGTTTCAGATAAAATAGTTCTGTTTCATAATTTATCGTCCTTCGACGAGTGGCCGTTCGACCGAGGGCTGGTTCGACGCACAGTCTAGATATGATTGTCCAGAAGTATTGAAGGCTACATTACGGAATGCAGGAGTCATGATGGTCCATTACATCCAGGGCAGTGGTGGTCTTTGGCAGGCAATCCTGCTCCATCATGGACGTAATTGCACCCGCGAGTTGCTAGTCTCATTTCTACAAACATTGCGGTTGCCTACATGTCTGGAATGCGGCAGTGCATTTGGTCTATGCTTTTTACTTGCGGCATCTTAGTTCATGATTTTGACGAATATTTGTATCATGCCATTGAATAATTTCATTACAGTTGCTCAATACTTTGCCTTTGAGGCCTACTTCATTCCTCGAGATGATGGCAACTACTACGGAGTTCCTGTAGCTGTCTTGGACTTGGCATATTGCGTCACCGACTCGTCATGCGGGTTGCCCGTGCTTGTCTACGCAACGTACTCAACTTACTACATACGTGAGTAGCAGTAACGAATTGTGTGTGGCAGTTATATATATCAAGGCGATGGAAATTGATTTTCTATCACAATTTTACTTTAGTAAGCTTTAAAAATTTCATGGTTAAGTATGAAAAATAACATCCTGCATGTGCCTTCCATTTGCTGCTTCACAAATAAGAGCTCATTCCATTATATCTGCCATATCCTTTTAAAAAGTTAATGGGTTTATTTCTCTTATTTATCTAATGATTTTTCCCTTAGCTCCATTAAATATTGCGGCTTGTTGGCACAATCTTATGGTTGCTTGTGGTTGTTGCCTCTCACCTTAAAATGCCTTCGATAAGCTCGTTGGGATTGAATTAATGAGCCTTGACTTTGATAGTAAAATTTTACAATTTGTGTACGTTGGATGGTATTGAAATTCTACATAATTAATTTCCAGGATCTGAAAATTTTTTTGAGAAACCTAAAATTAAAAATAAATAAAAAGATGTTAAGAAATGAAAAGCGTCAGTGACTTTTAGCCCACCTTGTATACTAATATATCCATTTATACTGCCTTGGATGAATATATCCGAGGAAGCTGCTGTTTCGAAACCTGCTGTAGGAGCCGTGGCAGCGATGACTTTAAATTCCGGGCTATTGTCTTACTTTAGAGCTCATTCCCATGTCAGATAACGCTTGCATCTGTTGCATTCCTAGGCACGAACAAATGCTTGAAAAGTTGACTAAATGAGTTGCAGAAGCAGCAAAGATTGCAATAAAACCACGAGTAATAATTATTGTTCAATGAGGTTTCGGTAACTCACTTATAGAAATATGAGTGAGATATATCTCGTTAGAAACGAGGTGGAGAGGTTGAGACTCACTTGCATTAGTGAGTAATGAACGACATATTTGTTCAGCACCCTATCGCATTTATCACTATACATATTTTCTTGTGCTCTTTCTCATTTATTTCCTGAGTTACCAATAGCACTGTTGAAACTCAACCCACATCTCTTATTAAAATAAATAGTGTCATTGTTAATAAACTTATCGTCGTTATGCCCACATCATTCACGGCATTAAAAGAAGTCGGTACGTTAGTTGCGAGTTTATATCTTTTGACAGGTCCCAATTAACCCACAACTTCTCGACGTGTTAAGATAATTGCAATAGAACTTCAACCCTCTTATTATACCAATTATACCAAACTTTAATAACGGATCTCTGGAGGAAAGTGCGGCGCTTAATGCCCAATGACCTCTTGGGACATTTGCTGCAAACGGAGCGTTACTTTTCTCTGCATGCAATAAGAAACGGAGCGTTATTTTTCGGTCCATAAACTTAGAAATTATGAATTCGTCGCTAACTGCACAGTTGCTTCAAGAAAATTCAGCTTCTCTATTTTCCTAGTGAACGAATGCGGCAACACCATCACACTCACGGCTTCGCCGTCCCATTTTTACGTAACGGCGTTCTCGCACCCTGGGTACGGCTGCAAGGCGTTCCCCGACGGCCCGACCTACAACTGCAGCGTCACCTTCACGGCAGCTTCCAATTTTTCACTTGGCCTCTTCGGAAGACACTTTATTGGCAGTGACGGGTCTTGCGACGGCTACAATCTTACCGCTTCTTACGGCGCTACGCAAGACGCTAACTTCTGCATCCCCAAACTTGTTAGTGAAGGAAAAGGCTTCAGTGTCATATACCCTGGTTTGGTTATTCCTTAGTGGTAGATAAAAAAAATAAAAAAATTCGGAAATTATCGAGATTACATTAGAATATATTTTCCTCTACTCGGCAAAGCACTTGCAGTCAATTTGCTCAGGCTCCAGCCTCACATGATCAACAGCGCGAGTTTCATAATTGTGCAGTTTTTCTTTCATAAGTCTTCAATATGCACGATAATCCTAATAATATATTCATATCTCATATATAAATTGAAACTTTAGTTAGTTTATTTCTAATCAAAATACAATAATATCTGTCAGTAAAAACTTCAAACCGCACGATTAATATTGGTTTTATCCAGCATTAATGAATTGAAATGCTATAGTAGATATGGTCGGTGCTGCTGTTAACACGCCTTTGTCTCTGCAGGAAATTCACAGGATTCGCTCGGTAACACTCACGCTGCGGGGTGCGGCGCTGGCCAACACTTTCAAGGGGGGCTTCGTCTCGGTATTCCAATTGTATTAATAAATGTGCGTCGTTTGCTCTCTACCAATGTCGGCGCCCGGCTTGACCTGGAATATCTGCTGCACTTTGAGTTCATTTCACGTGGTGACACTGAAACATTGATGAAGAACCCTCGTATCTGGAGAGGATGCCAGGGTCCTATGCCCACAGGATGACAGGGTCCCATGCCCACATCGTATCTGGAGAGGATGCCAGGGTCCTATGCCCACATCGTATCTGGGGAAAATGCCAGGGTCCTATGCCCACATCGTATCTGGAG